AGACACTACTTAAAAAAACAAACCCCAGATACCATCCCAATTGATAACTGGGCACCATTCGCCCTCTTTCGCCACACTTTGCCGTAGCACCCTGATCTTCAGGGAGCTCTTCACGAAGCTGAGTCTCAAGCAGTGTCATATTATAGGAACTAAGTGTTCTTGGATTTAAGTGGGAGCCCAGAAACCATCTGCTTGTCCACTGTGTATGTTTCCATAGATAGCCTCTGTCAGATTGAAGATGCTTCCCTTTATTCCTTGTTTTCTGGTAGTCTTTTGTTTTTTGATTACAAAGGGATGTGCACTTGTCAAATGCTTTATCTCCATCTATTAAAATAATAAGTTTCCTCCTTTATTCTGCTAATATGGCTAATGGATCTTCCCATGTCAAACTCACCTTGAACTAATGGAATCAGAAGTACTTTAAAAAATAATCCTGCTGCATTTGATTTGTAAATATTTTGTTACAGCGCCCCACATCTGTTTTGGAGAGGGCTGTCGCTCTATGAAATTGGTGCGTAGCTTCGCGAAGATCCACCCATATGTGTATAAACAGGTATTCAGCCCAAATAGCTCCTTCCTTACTACTTATCTGCTAACAAATTCTAGCTTCCCTAGCCTCACCAATCTTTAAATTCTCCAGCCTGGTGGAAACATCCTGCAACCGCCTCAGAAAGAATTGGGAATAAGCTCACTCCTTATTTTCTTTCCCTCAGATCACGATCTTGCAATTCCTGAAAATAATCTGATTTCTGACCACCCACCCTGCACCAGCTTGGCAATTGTCCATTCTTCTGTTTGGCAAGTCTGTCTGGGTCAGGCCTTCCCGGGCGGAAGTGGAGATACATGATTCATCCTGTTCGGCATGCACTGTGGCTGTCAACTGTCACACCTTTTATCCGTGTGAAGCAGTCTTCGCTCACTGAATGTGGCCTTTCGCCATTCTCTCCTGAGGTAATTTCTAATAAGTATTGGATTTTTATATCATGCATATGGCGTGCCCACTGTGTACTCCCTCTAAGCTGGAGGGAGGGTCGGCACACTTGTGAGGTGGAAAGAGCCAATCCGGTTCCTCATAGTGAGGTAAAAATAATTCAAGAGCCCTACCTCTATTTTTCCAATCAAATGAAATCACTAGTATCTGAATAATGGCCTTTAAAAGTTTTATCAATGAAGCCGTGATAGTTTTATTTTCATTTTCAATTTTACTTCAGAGCCATAGGTACGTCTGGACCAAAAGAGCCTGAGCCACCCAGCTCTGGGCACTTGGAACACCTCAGTGGAAAACGAGCCTGCCCTTTGGTGGTGGCAGAGTGCAATCAGTGCCCTGCTAACAGCAAGGTGGGCGTTCAAACCCTTCCTCCTCCAGATGAGGCAATCGACTCCCCCTAACGCATGACAGCCCTGGAAATGGTATAGAGGGCCTCTCGGCATCAGCACTGGACGGCAGTGAATTGAAGTGAGTCGAAATCAAATTGTGAGCAATCGGTAGCTAGGGTTTTTGCAGGTCCTTTATCTCTTAACCCCCTTTTCATATGTCTCCTCTCTCCAGCCGGAGGGAGGATTTCATCGCTTCCCAATTCCAATTTACGGATGCCAAGGGCTGTATCATCATCGTCCGTTGGTTACTTGATGTATTGTTCTCCATTTTGAACAATCCTAGGCATGCGGTTTTCTTTCAGAGGATTGCATTTGCTCCCCTTGGGGAGGTAAGCCTGGTATTTGCTGATAATTGATTATGAGAACCGTTGCCTCTTGTTTTGTAGTTTACTGTACAGTCCTCTTTCCGGGGAGTTAGTTTTCCCTCTGAGGATGGGAATATGTGGCCTGGGCCATAAAAAACCTTCATAAAGCCTGGTTTAGGGAACGCTTCACCGGGAACCCTGGAGATGGGACCTCTGAAGAGCCCGGCTTTATTTCATGCTGTGTGTGGTGAGTTAAGGAGGTCCCAGCCATGGAGGCAATCACCCTGGAAACATACATCTGAGAATCCACCCGTGTGAGGGACCAGAGCGAGGACTTGCAGGAAGCAAGCTCTGTAACCCATGCTTTCACTGGGGTGGGCTTGACCCAATGAAAGCGGAAGCCCTTACAACAGAGACTGCAACTTCCCGGGGGACCTGAGACTCCACAGATGCGCTGGGCTCGGCGTTTCGTTTCTCGTTGGTCGTGGCGCTTGAAGCTTGCCTGGTCCTCCCTGTAAGCGCAGCTCTACCCTTTACGGAGCGTGTCCAAGGGCTTTCCAGAGACCAGGCTGTCACCTGATGCTAGCCGCCCATGTTGTTTAACCAAGCCTCTTCAATCCATTGCCAAGATAAATCCTTAAATCACAATTGGATCATGCCTGACAGCAATTATTTCCAAGATAAAAAAAAAATCGCTTCTATATGATCTGATAACGACCCTGCCCCATCCCACGCCACTCCCTTCGCTCCTTTCCCCTCCTGTCATGTTGGATCCCCCGCTCTTCGGTTCTTCGCCGCCTCTCCCGTTTATCAGTCTGCAGCGTCTCTGCCTGCCTTCTTCTAGGTTTATCTTCACCCGTACTGATTTCAGGCTATGAGCAAGCGCAGGTGCCTGGTGGCATCCTGGTGCCAAGTCGGGCAGGTGCCATCAGCAAGGTCAGCAAGTTTGAAAATAGCGCCCGATCCTCGGGAGAAAGACCTGGCTTTCTACTCCCATCAGCGGTAACCGCCTCCAAAACGAGGCCGTTCTACCCTGCCCTTAGGGTTTCTATGAGTCGGCATTGACCCGATGGCAGGCAGTGTACGCGTCATTTCCTTCCACAGTTCCCTAGTTCTCCTTCACCGGGTTGAGTCTCCCGGTTTACAGCCTCCTCACACTATACTAGGGGCCCTGGTGGCGCCATGGTTAATCACCCAACTGCTAACTGAAAGGTTGTACATCCAAACACAAACAGCTCCAGGGGATGAGGGAGAACCTTCCAATCTGCTCCCGTTAAGATCACAGCAGTGATGTGTGATTAGAGACGCGAACAGTGTGGCTTTCCGCCATCCTATGGGGTCAGGATGAGTCCCATTTACTTGAAGACAGGCAACAAGCAGCACTATCAGTGTATGCGCTCCAAAAATCCCCAATCGATCGGGCCTAGGGTGACAAGGTATTTTGTTTCAGATGGGAGGGAAGTGGGGTGTGTGTGTGTGTGTGTGTTTTCAAAAACTAAGATAAAAGCCAAGCCAGTCTGTAGTTAAATGTGTGTGTGTGTGTGTGTGTGTCTTAGCACTCAGCTGCGAGCCAGGTCAGCAGTTCAAATCCACCAGCTACTCTACGGAAGAAAGATGTCAAAGTCAAGGCCTTACAGCCTTGAAAACACTATTGAGGTAATCCTGCTTTGTCCATGTCCAGTAGGGTCATGAGCCGTAATCAACTGTGTGGCAGAGGGTGCCTCTGGGGGTTGTTGTTCATGGGCGCCACTACAGTGACACCTCCTTGATGCAACCCTCCTCATGCTTGTAATTAGCCATCCAATGTCTGCCCTTCTGCCGACTGGAAGGGCACCTTTATCATGATGTACCTTGATAAACTGTTAACTTCCAGGAGTCCTCCAGGTCCGTTCAAGTCTGTGCTCCTGAGCGGCGAGCTTCATGACTCTTCCCAGCTTAATCCCCATGACGCTTCCTCCATCAACCCTCTATCAACTCTAGCGAATTCACCACGCTGTATTGTCACCGTTTACATTTCCTCCCAACCAGTAGGTTTTGGTCTTGAAAGCAGACAATCTTGTGTTATTTTACACAAAGGGGGTGCTCAGTAAATGTGCAATAGGATGAAAACTCTTAATTGAATGTGAAAGATTTTGAAATAGAGAGCATGTTGTGGCCCTACTAAGTGGAGGTTTTAAGCTGCAGCAAACTTGGACAGACTCTTTCGATACAATGTTGGTATTTCAGCATTTAAGAACAGTTCATTCTGCATCCATAATATCTGAGTCTGACTGACTAGAATAGTTGTATTTCTGGACCTGTTGGGTTTACATTAACTTTCCCCAAGGAATATGCATTTCATCCTTGACTCCCAGGGGATAATTTCTAAACCTTGGAACGTCTTCCCTTGTGACTTAAGTCTCTTCAACGGGAGCTGTTGGCCACTCAGTGCCTGCAGTGGAGGCTAGCTATTCTGAAGGATCTCACTTTCTCAGACCACCCTTAATGACCAAGATGACAGGACCAAAATCCTCTCTACACAGTCTGGACACAGGCTCCCCTCCATGCTCTTCCTAATTGGGGACAGTCAGACTCTTAGGAAGGTGCCATCCCTGACACACAGAAGCTGTGTAGGGAACTCCCCCCTACTTTACCGGATTTAACTCTTCTTCATGTGGATCCTAAATGGAATCCCTTACAGTAAAGCTATAGCCAGACATCCAGCACTTTCTGTGGGTTCTGTGAGTTCTTGCAGTAAATTACCTGACTCCAAGGTTGGAGGTGAGGGACACGCAAGACCCAAACTTCCCACTGTTCTCAAGGGGTAGTGGGGAAACCTAAAATTTGTAGCCAGCAGGTCAGACGTGAGGGGAGTCCTGGGAACTCCCAAACTCTTGGCAAGCATTTGAAGTTCAGAATCAATCTAGCAATCCAGAGGACTACCGTGTTGCTGGTGAAACTTGACCTAGCTCCAGGGTCAGAAAAAAAAAAATGTTGGTGCGTCAGTGGTATCAAAACAGAAGTGAAAAGTGGAGATTTTAATGTCATTATTCTCAGCATCCTCATTGCATTATGGAGAGGATAAAGTGAGCCATGACACGTAAAATACTGAAAAGAACACCCAGCTGAGATGTAGTCAATTACTTCACATGGCCTTCTAACCAGAGTTTGCTGGTTGAATCCCATTTTGGGGGGGAGTTCTGCTACAGGGTTATGGTGGAATGTATCTTCAGACTCTACTGGAGGATGTGACTTAAATTGCCATCCTTTGGTGTCCTTGGGGGTATAGTCAGCCGAAAGATAAAACTACAGATCCGCCAACGCTTTCCCTTTGCTCACCGGTCCCGACTGGTGTTGGTAGCAGGACTGGCTGGAACTTTTGGAAGCGTCTGGTCTCTGGCTCTGGCCCAGGCATCCGGCCTGCCTCGGTCTTTAGGATTGAACGGCACACACAATCTGAGAGCCATGCCAGGAGCCCTGGTGGTATAGAGGTTAGGCGTTGGGCTGCGTTCCACAAAACTGGCAGTTTGGAACTGCCAGCCCCTCCAAGGGAAAAAGACGGGCCTTTCGACTCCTGTTAATAGTTCCAGTCTCAGAAACCCACAGAGAGGGGGCCCCAGCAACGACTCGATGGCAGGTGTTTCTTTTTTCAGTTTGGGAGACATTGCAAGGAACTGCAGAACCCAGGGATGTGGAGGAATAAACTCAAGGAAAGAGTCAGGGGAAATGGAGTGAAATGACATCTTAGGAGTGTGGAACACTTGGGACATCTTTAATCTCCCAATTCCTTGGGACCGGTCCAGTATTAATTCTTCTGAAAGAAAGTATTACCACGCTGGCATTGCAAGGATCATTTCTTTCAGAGGGGTCAGCACAAGGCTGGTCCATTTTCGGTGTCTACTAAAGATGAAGAAAGGCTGTTCATAGTCCATCATCTCTGATACACACTCCTGCCACTCCTCCTCTGTCTTTGAACTCCTATCTGAACTGCAATGTTGCACCGAACTCATGACCCATCAAGGAAATGCCTCACTCAGTTGTGACAAATTGGGCCAGATGATGGACCACTGACTCAAGTCCCACACACCAACTGGAGGTCAGATGGAGGCAAGTCTGATGCAGGATCCAGAGCGAGAAAGCTAAATTTGTCAAAGCGTTACTGCAGTTCCCCAGGTCTCACTACTCAGCACAGCTACAGAGATGCCAAAAGGCGGAAAGGGAAAGAAAACCATATGTAGGCGACGAATGCCCGGAGTGCACTGGGACGCATATCACCATGCAGGCTGGGTGCCCTACAACGAAGAGAGAGGGGCTCTCCTGTGGGCATGGCTGGAAAGTTTGTCCTGACCAAGGAACTGTGTTCTAAGCATTTCTGACCCTGTGTTGTAACCTGCTAACTTTCTTAATAAACCCCACCAGGGTGATATTTTGACCATCAAATGGCATATCTTTTTGATTTCTCAGTTGGTTCAAATTCAATAGAAGAGAGAGGTGCATTTTATTATTGGACCCTCTCAAATCCCAAGAGGGCATACAATTCTCTTTCTGATAAATATCATTTTTGAGTTACATTAAACCAACAACACTCTTCTCTTCAGAGAAGTTTTTGTTTGTTTGCTTTGTTTTGAATAGACAAGGGCAGGCAAGACACAGGGGATGGCTCTACCAGCAGTTCTCAGCTTGTGGGTCATGATCCCTTTGGGGGTCGAATGACCCTTTCATAGGAGTCGCCCGATTCATAACAGTAGCAAAATTACAGTTATGAAGTAACAATGAAAATAATTTTATGGTTGGGGGGGGGTCACTATAACATGAGGAACTATATTAAAGGGTCACGGCATTAGGCAGGTTGAGAATCACTGCTCTAGATGGTTTCCTGAAGTCGGCAATCCTGTCCCCTGGTGGGCGCCAGAATGATCCAGGCAGGGATGCTGTAAAAGCAGATACCTATGCTTTATCCAAAAGGTTTTAATTGGCAGTGGGTGCTGAATAATCATTTTTTTTCTGAAAAGGAATCAATAGACCAACCAGTTTGGGACTCTGGACTCTAGAGGGATGGTATGTTTCTTCTTTTGAAAAAGCTCTCACTGATGGGCTGTGACTTCTTAGATAACTTCTCATAGAAGCAACAATCTTAAGACATCTTCAATGAAATGATTGTAGCCATCAACCATATCATATATTTAACTTGAACCAGCTTGAAGAAGAAAAATTACACCACCAGATTGGGAGCTTTGTAAAATATAATTTAAAACTATTTTGTACCAGTACAATATATTAATTTTACAAATGTAAAATTTTATCAGCTGTTAAAGCATTTGCAAAAACCACACATCCTACTTCAGCTTTATTGCACAATATCTATAAGAAAATATTAATTTTTAAATTAGAAAACATAAAAATGCTTTCAATATAGAAGTGACCATCTGATTTTAAAGACAATAACTCTATAAGAATGTCTACCCAGAAAATAACAAACTTTCACAGGATACAAAGCTGGACAGATGCTTTGGCAGATACCAGGCCAAGATACTGAATCCAAACTGTATCATAACTCTTCATTAGAAATCTAGATGCCACTCAAGGTGACTTGTTCTATTTTAAAAAGTTGAGTCTTTTTCTTTTCTTCCCTGGTTGAGCATTTGGAATATCCCTTTCATAGCAAAAACCACGCTTTCAACTTAACAGCAAGTTGTTGCCCAGCCCCCAACCCCTGCTCCTCACACATTCTTTCTGGCAATTGTTTATAGTGACTATTAATAATCATTTAAATGTATTTAGGCTGATATAAAACATCAAGTTAAATACACTTTGAAAAGCTAGTCTTTTACAAAAATCTGCTTATAAATTTGCATCATAAAAATTAGTGTCAAGACCAGCAAGATGGCCTTCATTTCTGTTTCTTTACGTGTTGTTTTTTTTTCCCCGAGTTGAGATGACAAGAGTCCCACTTTTCTACGTAGTGTGATTAGAAAATAAACCAGCCCTAAACTGTACTCCCAAAGTAGGGTAATAGAGGCTGTATGGTGGATTTTAAAGGGACAGACTCTGGGTGTCTCTACCAATATTGGTGTGAAAATACGGAGAGTAAACCTGGCTGGGCATTTAAGTTACCTCCGACAATGAGTAAAAACGGAAGCTGCCATGGGGAACTATGCATACATATATTGTCCTTGGGGTTGGATGCATCCCAGAAAGGGGCGGAGGGCTCTTTATTAATGAGTACAAGGATTCACCCCATTTTATATCTACAGCTCACAGGTATCTCTACCTACTGGCATTAAAGCAGGTGGATTCAATGTCAAGTGTTTCAAGCGTTCATGACCCTGGAAATTACCTTTTGGAACTTATGACCTGCATAAGCAAAGTCAAGAATGACATCACATATTTGTGCCGAGAAAATAATTACTAACGTAGTGGTTATGTGCTCAGAAGTTTCTTTTAGGTAGATAGAAGTATTTTAAAAACCAGATGCTTACAAAAAAGTTTTCATTATTTAGAATTCCTTTCTCAGGAATCAAAGCAGTTGCTTTTTCAGAACTGCATTTTTCAGAACTGCTCAAAGCACCTCATCTAGCTGAGTGTTTTTGTTTTTGTTTTATATTCATATAAAACATATATATATATATGTAGACATATATATATATGTCTACAACGAGACTTCAACCACCACTTACTTCATTCACCTTTTACGGGTTTCTTTTTTACCATGTATCTCCTTCCTTAAAATTCTTCAGGAAACAATACAAATAAACTCTCACACTCCATTAGAAAAAAAGAAAACATTCCTGGTCTGAAAATGTTTCTGGATTCCCCCAAAGCTTGGAACTATGTGCAACTTCCTCAGACACAGGCTTTGAGGAAACCCCTGATGCACTACTATTGAATATTCTGGTAATGGACATGCCATAGAAATGTTACGTTAATAGTAGTAAATAGATGAAAATCTATTCCATAAAATAAAAAATGTTCGATGACTTCGATTTAAATACATATCTGGAAATCTAAGAGGAGGTTTGTTTGTTTTTCAAAAGTGCTAATTATTACACTGACGTCACTTCCTTATATCCAAATCTTGTCAACCTCCACCACCCTTGCTTTAGGCACACTGCTTGATGAGCTTCTAAGAAGCGGGGTTGCGGGGGGATGAGGCGGCGAATCACTTGTCAATTAATCCAGCTTCCTTAATTTTACTGAAGAAGAATTTCTCCAGGATATTGGCACATTTGTAGTATTCACTCTCTGGGGGATTGTACTCTTTGCAATTGGTGAAGACCCGCTGTAAGTCTGCCATGAATAATTTCTTAGACACGTAGTACCTGTTCTTGAGGCGTTCACTCATGGTTTTCAGATCTGTCCGGGAAGGAAAAGAATAAATAAAAGATTAGCAATCGTCGACTCCTTTTAAATGCTGGCTGACAAAAGTGAGACTTGGGAAGAAATCTACACCATCAATTTGATGATGTTTTTATCGTACCAATGCCTTGGCATAAGACAAATTCATATGCGTGTTTATGTTCATTCTTATATGGGAGTTTGGATGTAAAATCACAGTCATTTTAATATTAAAAAGACCATGATTGGTCATCTGGTCCAAACTCCTATTCATCACAAAGAAGCTCAATAGTTTACCAATGATGCATAGGTGAGTGGGAATAACTGACTACTGTAAGCCATTCAGAATTATATGGAAGAGATCATCATCGACATACAACATTTATGTTGAATTATTCATTTACTGAAAACAATCACAATAAGCTTACTTCACTAAAATGACCATTGTTTGCTATGTATAGATTGCACTAAAATTGAAAAGCTCACCACAAGAACATTTGCAAATATACTGGGAATCTTGCATGTAAAATGCAAATTAATTTTGCTTCATGCTCTCACCATGAAAGAAGAATGGCCTATTTGATTTAGTGATCTATTTTCACAGCAAGTCAACTATGCAAGATTGTTTGCAAAAAGAGTAGTCTCTCAATAGATCTACTCACTTTAAATTGATTAATCTTTTAAGTGACAACAGGCCTTCCTCTAAAAATACGTCATGTTCATAAAAATGCGCCAGGGAAAGGGAAGAGCCCAGGGATTAACAAAGAACTTTGGGAAAAGACCAAAGTAGGAGGCTTCTCACTTCTGGACCTCAACAGTAATTGCACAGTCACGGCAGTTAAAACAGCTGACACCAATACAGTGACACATACCATATATACTCATGTATAAGCCGAGTTTTTTCCACACATTTTTAATGCAGTCTCTGTGGTAAAATTAGGTGCCTTGGCTGATATTTGGGTCGGCTTATACTAGAGTATATAAGGTACATGGACCCATGGAACAGAACAGAAAACCCAGGAAAAAATCATCTACCTACACACAACTGAGCTTTGACAAAGTGGCAGAAAACATTATAGGGGAAAAAGAGTCTCCAACAAATGGTGCTGGTAAAATTGGATTCCCATCTGTACAAGAATAAAACAGTCTCCGCCATCCCTCATCCCATGTATACAAACTAACTCAAGCTGGATCCAAGATCCTAAATATAAATCTCACAACTCTAATGATCACCACTGAGAAAGCAGTTACTAAGTAAAGGGCCCTATTGCTGGGCATGGGCATACTATCTAATATAATGAAGGAAATACACACAGTAGAAGATGAAATAGATGACTGGAACCTACTGAAAATAAGACACAATGTACATCAAAAGAGGAAAAAGAGAACTCACTGAGTGGGAAAAACATCTTTGACAAAGGACACAACAGATAAGGGACTAATCCCGAACATCTATAGGAAACTGCAGCATCTCATTTAGAAAAAGACCAACAACCAATAACAAGGGATGCAAAACAGATGAATAGATGGTTCACCAAAGATGATATTCCACTGGCCAACACCCATATGAAGAAATGCTCATGATCACTAACCATCTGGGAGATGTAAATCAAAGCAAAAATGAGATATCACCTTACACCAATGAAAAGTACAAAAGCAAATAAATAAAGGCCAGAGAGACCCTCATTCACGGCTAGTGGGTGTACACAAGCACCGTGGAAAGTACATATCGAAGTTAACAGTCATGACACAAACAGACGCATCCACGTTCATTACAGTACTATTCACACACTCACAAGAAGATGGAAGCACCTTAAAGCCCCTCAGGAGAAGAATAGATGAAGGCATTCTGGCACATACACACCCATTTCCCCTTGAGCATCTACTCTGACTTTCTTGCCCCTCCATGGGCAGTGGAATCCCGCCACCAGTCAAACAGTCTACCTTCCAACCGAATGGGACAAGTCAGCCTGGGAAACCACTTGCGCTCCCCACCATCTAGCAAGCTGGGAATCTGTACTTAGCAAAGGTTGAGGACACACCCATGGGGAACCTTATAACTTCATAATATCCCGGAGCTTCCGTTCTTTTCACAGGTTCCATGAAGGGCCAGGCGCTTTGATGGCTCTTGGGTAAAGAAAAGAAAACAGACGAGTATCTAATATGGAAATTCCATATGTAAAATCATTTCAGAACATTTGCATGCAGGGTGTGAACCGAGAACACCTACCTTCACCTGCTGGAGGATGCTCTTGAGCGTGCTGTAAAGCTGGTCAGGGTCTTTGGGCTCTTTACTGAAAGAAAAGTGAACCACCAAGCGCAGTTAGTTTTTCACCCAGCCATCAGCTGACTCTTATACAGCTCCTTTTTAGAAAACCTAACACTGGAATCATCCCAGAACATTTTAGGACAATTGCTACTCCACATGTTATGCTGGAGATTATGATTACTTAGTTTGCCCTTTTTTCTCAAAAGTTGCTGAGAGAGGGGCAAAAAATAAACAACCCTGCTTCCATTAACATGCTCTCATCCATCGGGCTTACCTTTTTTCTCTTCCACTCGGTTTCCAGCCTGTCTCTCCTAGATTTCAATGAAATTAAACACTGAATGAGAACTGCGTTGGGTCAAGAGAATAATATCGTTACTACTTAATTTCAAATGCAATGAATTACAGCCCTGGCTCAATACAAGCCGATTTCTGCAAAGAATCTGACGCTGGTGGTAGTTGCTCGCTAGTGCTGCTAACAATAGGATGCATATCCAAGACTGATAATACTATCTTACGTCAGTGGGGTTTTGTTTACATATTTATTTTTCTTAAGAGGCATGTCAACCTGATTGGGGAAAGCACTTTAAAAAGTCTGTTTTGGTACTGTGGGTTTGTGCAGTTTGCAACTGCATTTGCATTTTTCAATGGTGATTTTTGCTAATTGTAAAAAAATTAAGCAGTTATTTTCGGTGAGATGAGCTCTGTCCTGGTCTCTATTTTATTTGGCTAAGACACTAGTTGTGATAAGAGATGGTTTTATGTGGCCAGAAGAAGCCACAGCCGTGGATCTGACAGACCTGGATTTGATTTCCTGCTCTCCCCTTGAAATCTAACTTAGCCTGGGTGAGTTACTTAACTTCTTGTGTCTCAACCTATAAAACCAAACTTGAAAAAATAATAATAATTTATAAATTATCAAGGGTCCATGAGGGAGGGTAATGGCGGGAGGGGAAAAAATGAGGAGCTGATACCAAGGGCTCAAGTAGAAAGAAAATGTTTTGAAAATGATGATGGCAACATACGTAGAAATGGGCTTGACACAATGGATAAATGTATGGATTGTGATAAGAGCTGTATAAGCCCCCAACAAAATGATTTAAAGAAATGGAATAGAATTAGGTGATGTTCTCCCTTTTTAGATTAGCATGTAACAACGAGAAGAATGTCTGGCTCTAGTGTGCACTCAGATAATGAGCTCACAGACGTGAACTCATGTTGACCCTTACAGGACAGGGTCGATCCTGGTCTGTCATCTTTTCAGAGCAAGCCCTGGTAGTGCAGTGGGTTAAGTGCTCGGCTGCGATCTGAAAGGTCGGCAGCTCGAACTTCCCATGGGGGAAAGTTGTGGTAGTCAGTCTATAGAGACAACAGCTTTGGAAACAGTACGGGCCCGAGCTTCTCCGTCCTAAAGGGTCTCTAGGAGTTGGGTAAAGCTCAACAGCAATGGGTTGTTGAAAAATGTACAGGAACAGGTTGCTGGGTTGTTCTGGCAGAGTGCGTGGCTGGTGGGCCCAAACCACTGACTTCTCTTTCAGTTGGCAGCTGGGCACTCCGTCAGTGGGGCACCAGGTAGCCTTACTATCTTACTGGAGAATTCGTTTTAAATCTTATGACTGCCATCACGCTTGGCAAGCAATCGCTTTTTGTTTGTTTTTTCAAGTTCTGAGAAACTCATTTAGCCAAACTCATTTTATGGAGCTGGAACCCGTGGTGGCGTAGAGACATTGTGCAATAGCAAGATCTTTCGAGCAGGCCAGAATGAAGCTGTGCCTTGCTTTCTCGGACTGGCTTTTTGCCAGTTAAGGTTACGTTACATTGCCTTTCTGAAATTCAATTTTTCTGTTTATCAAAGTAGGATTCGCCTTCCTTCTAAAGTGGTCCTTAGCACTGTGCTATAAATACCAGGTTCTCAACAAACAGTGGAGATTAATAGATTACACACACACACACACACACAAGGGGTCAGTCACTTGCACTCTGGTTTGCTTGCATTGAGAAGTCAAGCAAAGGCAGATGAAAAGAAACCTTTGCAACCTCCTCAGACAATTGAAAATAAACACACATTGAGACCCAGAAGGCAACAACGTGCTTCAAATCACTGCACATTTGTAATTCTTTCAAACACGACTCATGGCAGTACTACAATATTTTCTTTTAAAAGGAGGTCAATACATACTAATCCCAGGAATGCTTTCTATAGGAATCTGTCGAACTCCATCCTTAAAACATGAAAGTCCAGGGTAGACTTTTCGAATCTGGGCTTGTTTTCTTTCTATCAGCTTTTTGATGATCTGTAACGCAGAGGAAGACGTTACTGTTAGAGAAAGATGCCAACGGCTATAGCTTCAGTCAGCTGAACTAGGGGAGTCGTTTTCCTGACCAAATCAAGTCTGCATAAGAAATAAAAAATGAAAGGGAAAAGGATGAATGCGATTTAACAGGTGAGACAGGAACATGCTATGATCCCAATCCCATGTAGTGGCAGTAACATATTCTCCGAATGACTGCTAATATTGAGAGAACACACTGCCTCCAGAGTCCCCTGTCATCTTGAGCATTAAAACGAATTGTTCTGCCCTTTCCTCTGAGAATGCATTATCAGAATTACAGAAATGCAGCCCCTGCGCATCAATACAGAGAAGACTCAGAACCTCTTCCCATCCTGTAACTGTGGCTTTCCCTGAAGATTGGGGCGGGGTATAGGTGGCCAGGTGAACAAACCTCAGAGGGCCCCTAAAGCCTGTGAAGAATGACCTTTATTCTCACTAACAAGTTTCAAGAGCCCCATCCCAGGCCAAGAACATTAAAAAAGCAGTTCTAAAGATGGTCTTATTGCCACTGAGTGGGTGGCCTAGAGAGTTACATGTTGGGCTGCTAACTTCGAGGTTGGCAGTTCAAAACTACTTGTTGCTCCTCAAGCGAAAGATGAGGCTTTCTACTCCAGTAGAGAGTTACAGTCTTGGAAACCCACAGGGGCAGTTCTGCCCTCTCCTGTACGGTGGCTGTGAGTTGGAATGGGCCCAATGGCCGTGCATGTGATTTATTTAGAAAGAGTATCTATCTGTGAGGGCAACATAACTGATGAGATCAGAAAGGGAGAAACGTAGTCAAACTGGCAAATTTGATTAAGAAGCGACAACATTTTTTTATTTTTAACTATAAAAAGGCCCTTTGTGCTCTTCTACAGGAAGCCTAAAAACTGAATAGAAAGGAGTATTTTTAGGGAGCACGCACGATGGCACAGACACTGCACACAGCTTTAAGTCCATCAGCGTCAGCAATGCCTGATAAATAACTAAGAGCGTGGATGAAGGTGTGTATATTAGGAGAAATCAAACAAACATTAATATAAAATACAGGAAAGCATCTTAAAACAAGTGACACATGCAGTGATGCCTTGTTTCTGAAGGCCAACTACCTGGGCGGAGCAATGAGGGGATCTTGGGCTCCAGAAAGTTTATCTGTTTAATCAAGAGCCTCGAGTTCGAGCAAAGTCGTCCATTTGAGCAAAGGTGGCTCCCCTTCATGGCTCCTTCATAGGCCTGTTCTAACCCCTGACTCCCCAGTAGCCAACGCTCCAAAGTCAAGGAAAAAATGGTGGGGCAGAACAGCGCCATCACCGCTGCCCTTTTCATCGGGTACTGCACTCCTTGGACCGCAAGAGATGGCCTGACCCTAAGTTCAAGAACAGGCTGAGAGAGCGAAGAAAGAAACAGAAGCTTGTCAAGGAGAGAGCTGGGCTTCCCAAGTTCCCAGATCTTAAAGATGCTGAAGCTGTTCAGAAATTCTTCCTTGAAGAGATTCGGCTTGGTGAAGAGTGACTAGCTCAGGGCGAATAGGAGAAGGTGTGGACCATTTGACAAACACAATCACTGTGTGTGGGAGGCCCCAGCAGTTCCTGCAAGTGTGACAGCAAACTGTTCCGCCACCAGTGTTCCTGGTGCTTCTGACTAAGCTCCCAACCATTAGGCAGAGAATTGTAAGTGCTCAGAGCTTGGCTGAAGATGACGTGGAATGAGAAACAAATGTCAACACAGGAAAATACTAATTAAAGTTACTTTAAGATTCTGAAGTTGGAAGATAAGCAGCTCTTGGGATATAGGGACAATAGATGCTTGTTATGGACTGTGTGCTGTACTGAAATCTAACAAAGTTAAGTTACTTTCTATAGATTGATTTGTTTTGCTCTTTTTCCCAGTGAAAAGTGGATTTTGATAGAGCTTTTCATTTTATAAATACACCAGGAGTTGCCAAAAAAAAAAAAAAGCCTCATAATACTCTTTTCATGGTATTATTTTTCCTGCCTCCCCAACCAAAAACCAAACTCACATTCATTGAGTCAATTCTGACTCACAGGAACCCTATAGGATAGAAGAGAACTGCTCCTGGGACTTTCCGAGACGAAACCTTTACAGGAGTAGAAAGCCTCATCCCTTCACCCTTAGAATGACTGCTGGTTTCGAACTGCTGACCTGGGAATTAGCAGCCCAACATAAACCTACTCTGCCACTAGGGCTCCTTAGAGAAGTTAAAAACACTATTAGTCAAATCTAACTTTTCCTTTATTACTTCTTTTTCAGTTCATATACATAGAAGACTTTACCACCTTACAAATTAAAAAAATCACTTAAGGCCTAGAAATTAAACTTTTGGAATTTTCAATATAAAAGGAGAGATGTATAGACATTAAGACAAATGACTATTGTGGTAAAGTAAAATTGCTGAATAGGGCTCTTCTATCTGTAGTTTTCAGCATTCCCACCGAATGACTGGGTGGGCATAAGAAAGTCAGGGTGGAGAAGACCCTTGACTAGGGGGATTGGTGAGTTTCGCCATCACACTGGACACTAGCGTGTGTGATCTCAGAAGCAGAGGCCATGAAGAAAGAAGAGCTACCAGCAAAGTGTGTGTGAGCTCCCTGCTGAAGTGGCAGAGGAGCAGCACTGAGACAACGAAGCCGAGTGATGATCTTCCTGCCCCGCAGAACAAGGCAGGGGCCAAAGGCGCCTAGCTGAGGCAGAGAACCAGAGGCATCTAGACTGCCTGTAGAAGAGGCATTGTGGACCAAAGAACTGCATTCTTAGCATTTTGTAATCTGTTAGCTTTCCTAATAAAACCCATATGTGTGAGTCTTGTCTGGGAGTTCTGGGAGGCTATTGCAACAAATTTTGGACCCACACAGATGCACAGTGCAGCGGGAGTGGTGGGTGGTGTCAGAATAAAGAAAGAAGGATGGAGGGTGGAGACATGTCTGCTCTCTGCCTTGTGGCGATTGGCCTTGGCCGGTTAGGTAGTTGGATTTCCATCTCCTTTGTGTCGCCAGAGGTCAGACACAGACGCCTTGACATTTCCTCACCTCCATAAAACAAGGAATAATGAATACAGAAGAAAGTAGATCAAATCAAAAGCTATCAAAGTTGATAGGAGGAACTGGATTGTGGACCAGAAATGGTCTGCTTGCACGCAGGTAATGGGGTTGGATCATATTGCTGATCAAGATGTGAAGATCTCAGTAATGCCCATTGGAAATCAGTTTGAAAGTAAATAGATATGATTTGGAAGGATGCTTTGGGGTGTTTTTGTTTTCTGTATTAAACCTCCTTGGAATAGGGCCTGAGCGAGAAGACAGATAAAGGATACTTTCAAAGATATCTAGATAAATCCTAACAAACTAAGTTTATGATTCATGGTAGATCTGTATACCCAGAACCCTGCAAAATGCAAATCACTCCCGCTAAACCTGGCTCAAAGAGAGTGACATGAGTCAGTCGTCTGCTTACCTCCTTCTGCTTCTTAATAATGACCGAAAATTCTGTGTATGGGATTCGTGGATTTAGCTCACATCCCATTAAAGTGGCTCCTTCATAATCCTTGATGTAGCCAACATATTTGGTTTTAGGTATTTTAATTTCTTTGGAAAAACCCTGCAGGATCAAACACATGCATTCAGGTGAGCACCATCCATCAAATATCTATTCAGTGTAACTATATGCCAGGTGCTGTGCCAGGCATCAAGACATGTTTCTTTCAAGTTCTCAAAATCTTTTCTGGGAAAGATTACTGCTTTAACCTCTTGGGAAGTTAAGAAAACATCAGAAGTCAAGATATGTAAATAAGAAGCATAATAACACAAGCAGTGGACACTAACAAAACACAAATAAAAATTTAAGTCTTAGCATAAATAGCTAGTAAGTAAAATTAAAGTTTAATTTTATGCCATAGTTTTGAATTATATGGTAAATGTGATAGATGTTGATTTTCCCAAGTGGGGAGTTGGCCCCATGATTAAAAGCAAATTAAGAATTAAAACTGATCTAAATTCTCAAAGAAAAATGATCAACAATAAAGTATTTAGAACCTTAATGTTGTAAAAAATGAGACCCCCTACTTTATATATAAGAACTGTTTAGCCCATCACAACACATGGCTGTTCAGGGATATCCATGCTTTAAAATACATTCACATCTATCCATCATAGCAATACCACACGATGTGTATGGATGTGTGTACATACACAAATAGAAACATGCACATATTATATATTTAGCATTATAGAAATAACTTTCCTTAAGGTATCTCATTCAGTTCTCTGCAGAAAACTCACTTGGACTTCAGAACTATCACCAGTGGTTTCCTGCTTCACCTTTCAGCAAAAGCTAACTGTCCAGTCATGATTGGCAACATTTTCTGACAGGACAATAATTTGAGGACCAGGGCGAAAACCTCTTGCTTTGAGATTCAAGGTCAAAGGAGCAAATGTATTACCATGGAGTGGATTCCCACTCACAGCAACGCTGGAGCACAGAGTATAACTGCTCCACAGGGTTAGTGTAGCAGTTACATCATCTCCTGTCAACTTGCGAAGGGGTGGAGTCTAGCCTGTCAATCAGGTTATAGCCAATGAGGCCTCTGTGTGGGTATGGCCTTCTCCTGAGGATTCTGGGAACTCCTGTCTTCCTCCCTGGAGGTGGGACACACATTTTCTGCTACACATTACCGTTGACCAGCCACATGGAGCTAGGCTGATGGCAGCCAGAGCCTGGGAGCTGGAGGAGTCACGTGGAGACCCATGCCAGAGCTAAGATGCTTCCACCACCACTGGCTCCACAAGACTTTCCACCCACTGGCCTGTGATCTTCCTGCACTCAGTATCCTTGCATGTGTTCTGTAAATCTGAAGAGGAATTTACAGACTGGTATTGGACATATGCACTAATATCGGACTTATGGACTTGCTGTGGACTGGGCTGGATGTTTTCTTAATATACAATTGCTCTTTGGTACAAAGTTCTCTATTACCCACATAGGAGTGTCTATGCATTTGTTTCTCTAGTCAACCTGGACTAATGTGGTTAGCAACCATGGAGAACAGAGAACTGCTCTGCAGGGTTTTCAGTGCTGTAAATCTTTACAGAAGCCGAATGCCATATCCTTCTCCCTCGAGATGGCTGGTGGGTTCAAAGCACTGATCTTTTGGTTGGCAGTTGAGTGCTTTAAACAGTGCACCATCGGGGCTCCTTATTCTATAGGTACAGCCTGGGAAAGCTAAAGCCCTCACTATAGAAACCTCAATGAGTTTTCTCAAGAGATGTTTTTGTAATGGTCACAAAAACATCCCAAAGAGTGAGAAAACAGCAAGGTCTTAGAATCTTACTTAGAGAGTAAGGAGAGCCTTTTACTCAGGTACGGAAGTAATTTTTTTTAAGTTATATTTTATAATAATAAAATCTTTCCAATCCTGTTGAATAAAAAGAGTTAATCAACATTAAGGCATATGACAAACCGAGAAGAGCAAATACCATAAGTCAAAAGATAATATCTGAATGCATAAAAAGTTCTATTAACGCAAAAAAATATATACTTTAGCAGAAAAAACAAATATAATGACTGGCAATTAAAAAAGAATGCAAGTGCTAGTAAATGTAGGAACAAATGAAAACTCAACATGATCAAAGAAATGCAAGCACACACAATTTGTTCCCGACCAAAGGGGGAATCCATGTATTTCTAAAATCCATGTATTTCTAGTAAGAAGAGCAGCTGCTGTGACTAAGGAGCGCTGGTAGTGGAGTGGGCTGCTCGCCACAGGCCAGCAGTCCCAAGACAAGGCAGGAAGGTGGAGTTCTCTGTCCCCATAAAGATGGACAGCCGCAGAAACCTACAAGGGAAGTTCTGCACTGTCCTACAGGACCGAAATCGTTATAATAATAGTAGGACATTACAAAAACCATTAAAATATCTGGAAGCAATCCTACATCTGTGTATTCTAAACGAATGACTACAGATGAGGCCAACACATAAGGAGAGAGAGAGATACACACTGAAACACAAGGGTAAGTAAAAAAAGTGTTGCAACTACAATTCCAGTTCATACGAGGGGGCCCACACAAAAAAGGATTTTTTTTTTCAAAGCTAGGTATTTAATTTTTTTTTTTTTACAAAGCAACCATATCACCTTTGAAGTACTCTCCTTGACACTTAATACATTTGTCCAATATGCGATTCCAATATTCTTGGAAACATTTCTCAAACTCATCTGTTTGGATGGCTGACAGCACCTTCCTCATTTTTTTTCTTCACCTCTTCTGTGTCATTAGATCTCTGTCCTTTCATGTCCCTCTTCATTCACAGAAACAAAAAGGAGTCACACGGAGCGAGGTCAGGTGAGTAAGGTGTGTGGGGCAAGAGAGGCATGTTGCTTTTTGCCAAAAACTGGCACACTGAGATGGCTGCATGAGCAGGTGCATTGTCATGGTGGCAAACCTAGTCCCCTGTCTGCCACAAATCAGGGCCCTTTTGTTGCACAGGGTTCAATCAGAACCTCTAAATAGAAAGCTTGATTAAGTCTGACTCGGGGAATGAACTCCAAATACTCTCATAAAAACAAATGAGCATAATCTTGATCATGGACTTTACTTGACAAGCTTTTGTGGGGCAAGACAACGATGGTGTCTTCCACTGGCATGATTGACTTTTGCTTCTGGGGTTGTAAGAATAGCATCATGCCTCATCACCAATAATGACCTTGGGGGAAAAGTCTGGGTCGCTTCCGAGCTGTTCTTTCAGAGCACAGCATAGTTCCAGTTGATGCTCTTTTGTCTGGCCCGTCAGAACCTGCGCCACAAACTTCTCAGCGACCCTTCTCCTTCCCAAATCTTCTGTTAAAATTTGCTGAACTGAGCTCCAAGATAGTCCAGATCACTTCCCCATCTAGTCAATGGCTCCTTGAGCACAAGTGCATGAGTTTTGTTGATATTTTCAGCTGTTCTAGAAGTTAATGGACATCCAGAACAAGGTTTGCCATCAGCCAACATTTCAACCTTTTTGAAATGAGAAAACCACTCATACACTTGCGTTTTGCCCATAGCGCTGTCCTTATAAGCTGTGTTCAACATCACAACACTTTCTGCAGCGTTTTTCCTGAGCAGGAAACAAAATTTCCCAGCCTCACACTGCTTTCTTAAATCGCCCATCACAAAAACCTGCTTCGACACACACAAAAAGTCAGTGGGACCAGAGAGAACTTTCCCAGGAGATCCACGCATTGACCTAACTCAGAGCGAGTTGCTCGATGCTCGCCTAGCGGGGAAAACTGCATACTATGAAAGCTCCAACCAGCGGCGCTTTTGGCCGGTGTTTTTTGGGTACCCCCTCATATACATATGGGTTTATTCCAAACAAAATGTTTATTAAACACATCTCTGTCATCAGTGGGTAGTTGCAGACAGTTCTCTCAGTAACACACTGCTCTTCGTCATATTAGGGAGCCTTCAAAGAAAAAAGTTCAATAAAAACAGTATCTTCAAGGGCATCTACTGAGCCAGTCCAATTCAAGACAGAGAAGCCAATTCTGCAAATTACGGTGGCTGTGTTTTGGATTCCCAAGGAGGTAAACTTGTTAACACAGAATGTTTTGTGGACACAGGACACAGAATGATCATGGGAGCTTATCGGGATGCAGATTTCAGAAAATGGAAAATTGCCCCGGAAAGAAAAATGGTTAGAAAGTTTCTCAGATGAATTTTTTCTACCATGACAATGCTCAATGCTCAAGAGTAAGAAGGGCCATTGATGTATGGATTGTTATAAGAGCTGTAAGAGCCCTCAATAAAATGATCTTTTAATAAAAAAAAAATTTTTTAAGAGTAACAAGGGCTGTTGGATGAGAATTTCAGCCTATCTCACCACCCGACGGTCCTCGGTCTTCCCCTGAAGACGGCTTCTTCTCCCCAGACTCCAAGGGGCTTCATCGGAGTCCATCCAGGAGGTCAAAATGCCTGATATAAAGAGTGCAGAGGGATGACAGCGCCTTCAACAGGGCACGCACTTAGAGGGAGGCTCTGCAGATAAATCCTAGCTTCCTCTTTTTGATGTTGTTAATCCCGTTTCCGTGATTTTGTAGCATTGCTTTTTGACTTGTCCATGGGCAATAAGACACCTGCATATCCCAAAAACCTGGCAAATAAATTACTTTAAATTGCTTAAATAAGTAACTTTAGAAAGGTGTCCTGGTGGCATACTGGGGACCCACTGGGCTGCCAGTCGCAAGGTCAACAGTCGGAACATCAGCTGCTCCTCGGGAGAGAGACGGGGTGGGGCTCTCCACTCTCGCCGGCCTGGGAAACTCACAGGGCAGCTCTCCCCTGTCCTTTAGGACCGCTAACAGTTGTCATGGACTTGATGGCAGTGAGTTATTGGTTTTTTAATTGTATCGGGCATTCCATCAGAAACTTCATAAGAAAATAATAATATATACTAATATATGACGTGACCAGAATAATTAAACCAAACATCCAGCATGACTCCTGCAATGCCAAGCCCACTGCCACCGAGTCCATTCCAACTCGCCCTCCACGCAGAAGAGAGTAGAGCCACCCACAGGGGTCCAGGACTAGGGCTTCTTACAGACGCATCCGAAGAACAGCTGCGGGGCTCACACGGCTAACTTTTCAGTTAGGGCTTCAGTGCTTCGACCACAGCACCCGCCCGGAATCTTTCAAAAGGGCGTATCAAAGTGTTGACAGTTCGCTTCTCTGGGTTATAGGACTACAAGCACTTCTTCCTTCTGCTTCGTGCTTGACTCTATTTGGAAAAGTTTCCACAGTGACCACGCATTCATTCTACAGTCCAAAAACACGAAAGAAAAACTTTCAAGATTTATAAAAATCGAACCAAACTCACTGCCATTGAGTCCATGCCAACTCCCTCCCAGTGACCCTGCGGGACAGGGTCAACCAGCCCGTGTGAGTTTCTGAGACCACGCCTTTACCGAAACAGAAAGCCTTCAGTCTCTCCAGCGGAGTGCGTGGTCTCCAACTTCTGGCCTTTCGGTGGCAGCACAACTGGTAACCACTGTGCCACCAGGCATAGTTCCCTAAGAATTACAAAGTGCTATTGAAAATAATATTCATCCAAGCTGGTGAATTGGGTACAGTTTGCTGTGTGCGTTCTCTACAAAAACGAGGAAATAAAATTTCAAAACTGGGAAACAATATCCATCCAGAAACAAATCCTCAAGTAGTTAAGCTGAAAACTCCTGATAGGAGAGAGAGCTCCCCGCCATTTCTAAACTTCTGAGCTTCCTTTCTGGTGTCCTGACTGGGGACTGCTCCACTAAAGCCGTTTTTCTTGTCCATGGAATGGCTAAGGACCCAGGACTTAGAACTTACTCCCAAATTTTTCCTTGAGGTGTGAGTACTGGCAAGCCGAAATATTCTATTTCATGATGGAGGTTATTCATTCATTGATTTAGTGTTGACTTAGTACTTACTACATACCAAGAACAGGCCCTAATCCAATCTGATCATTTCCTTATTCTGAAACATAAAACCAAACCCACTGCCTTTCAGTCTATGCAGACCACAGCAATCCTGGGAGGCAGAGTTGAACTGCCTCATCGGGTTTCCAGGGCTGTAAATTTTCACCTGGCTTCTAACTGTTGACCTTTTGCTTAATAGTCAAGAATACCAAAGTGCTGTACCACCAGCGCTCCTACCAAAAAACCCAACCCAACCCACTGTTATCAAATCGAGTCAATTCCAAATGAACTTACAGGCAGAATGGAACCACTCTTTTGGGTTTCTGGAACAGCAAATTGTTATGGGAGCAGATAGACTTATCTTTCTCATGAGGAATAGCTAATAAATTGGAGCCCCCGAGCAAACCATTAGCTGTCCAACACTTAACCCACAGTGCTAACAGGGCTCCTTAATAGGACTCCTAGGGCACACAAAGGAACTGTGTATCCTTCCTGTAAGCAGGAAACACTGGGGGTCAATAGAGTCTACCTGAGGAGATATTAAGAAAAGGAGTTAAAAGACGGTCAGTGTTGGGTGGTGGAAAACCTACTTGTTTCTTGAAGTACCCAATTGCATATTCATCTGCATATGTGAGGAAGTTCAGGATGTCATGTTTTATATGATATTCTTTCAAGTGATTCATCAAGTGTGTTCCATAGCCCTGTGTGGAAGTCAGCATATAAACAAACACATTAGCTTCTACAGGGGGGAAAAAAAACCACCAAAAACTACTACATATTTATCAGAAAAGACTGGCAACTTTAGGGGGCTGTACATTAATGTAGGCAGTCCCCAGGTTACAAACATCCAATTTTTTTACAACCTACAGTTACAAACCAACTCCCATAAAAAACTTTGAGGTACATACAATGGTTCATCAGAGCAAATGGGCGCTACTTTACAACATATATCAAAACATTATTAATACCGTCATGACTGTATCATGTTAATGATGTTTTTAGCATATCTGGGTTTCTTTCATGTTTTTATAACTAGAAAGGTATACTACACACCAAGGCAAACTATTTCCACATACTGTTCCAACTTGTGTACAAATTATCCATGTTACTTTAACCTTGTATAGAATATTTTGAATACAGAATAACCCAATAATGATGAGAAGACAAAGATATACTGAGACTGGGTAAGAAGCTTCACATAAATACCCTTCACACTTTTAGGTGCAACCGCCACCAATTCAGTTTGACCCCGAGAAGCAGGGGCTGCTATTGTGGGCGTGTATAATACTGTGTGTGGACATAGAGTGTGAATAAGACAGTAAGATTCAGTAGTCTTTATTTTAGATGACTCTAAGCCTACAACCAGGTCGAGTGCTCTAAGGCAGTGCCATATCTCAGGAGTTGATCATTAGTCATTAACTATTTGCCAAGGACAGTAACTACACCAGTACAGTACACTAATGAAGCGCTTTCTCTCCCTTTGCTATTCCCATTAAATGGGAGGTTTTTTGTCTTTTTAACAATTTTATTGGCACTTCATACAATTCAATAGTTCAGTCATAGCATTTATGTTTAAGCTTAAGTTTATTCCTAGGTAGTCTATTCTGTGGTGC